AAATTAAAGTCGATTGTGGTAACTTTGAAATTCTAACTTTAACTTCGTATAACGACTTCTTAGGTCGTCACGGTTCTAACTTGCGTATACAGGGTTAATTGTAAAATGTTAACAACCTAGCAACACTATTACTATAATCATGAACAACAACATTCGTTCCATGACTTTTAAAAAATCATCAGTTTTTACTTTCGTACATAAATATATAAATATTTAAATAGACCGCTTTAAACGGCGATAACTCTGCGCGGTAACAAAAGAAAGCACCCACCACTGGTTGGGTCATGGAAAAAATTTAATTTTGAAACATATTTTTCTGAAAAATAAATATTTGTCTCATATTTTTCCACATTTGAAGATTTTTTTAGATCATTCATTTTTTTTTATTCCATCAATCATTTTAAACCTCGTTTTACTCTAACTAGCTTTTATTTATTTATTTTATTTTATCTTTAATTCAGACAACGGGGTGCATAAATTGGTTAGTAATAGTTTTCTTAGTAGGTATGTTAGTAAAAAGAAAACATGAACAGAAATAATACTAAATACTAATATTTTAATGGTGTTTGCCAGTAAATTATTTTTCTTACAAACACCTTTTGCTAACAAGCACCTGAAAGAAATGGCGCATTATGAGGGAATCATACCTCCCTACCACGGTCAGGATGGAGTTGGCCCTGGCCTGCAGTCTGCAGACCAGCGAGGCCGGCTTTTTGCGCATGATGGCGTAATTGTCATCGGTACGCGCCTGCGCAATCAATCCCGATGTGCTGCATAAGCGAGGCAGCCCCATCAATATCCTGAAATCGTTATCATATTATCTTTACAGTTTTATTTTATAATTCATGCTAAATGAAAGTTCAAAAAACATATCTAAAAGTAATAATATAAACAAATATAATGTGAGCCTTCAAATAATATTTGTCCAATTTTTCAAGAAAAATTTCCAATATTGGAAATTTTTCGGAAAATGACCTGACAATAAACATCTCAAAAGTTATTAGTTGAGTGACAGCACGCGGGAAGCGTTGCTAAACAATTTACTACTTACTAAACTTACAATTATATGGACGTCAGGTCCGCGCTAAAAAGTGTCCGCACTTGTAAGGCGCTAAAATCGTATACAGAGCGCCAAACTCCGCTTTAGTCTTCATTTGTTCGACTGAGAGCGCGATACTGCGATGACATTACAATTTAAATTTCGAATAGGTTGACTTGGGACATTTCGTGGTTATTGTATTAGACCCTTAGATACTTGCTTTACCCTGTTTATATATTTTTGAGATGTGTAAATTCGTACGCAACTACAAACACTTTTATACAAAAAAAGAAGACATTCCTTCAAAATATATTTTACGCCATAAAAATAAATTAATATTGCCCCATTCCCGCTTAAATCTAAACTGTACAAGTACATATAATTTTTCTATACAACTGTATAATAACTTACCTAATGTCTTAATAAATGAAAGCAATGATATACAATTTACAAAAAAGTTGAAAGAGTTACTCTTACAAAAATGTTATTATAGTAATAGGGGTTAAAGTATGAAATTGCCGATTTGTACTGAAAATCTAAATTGTTTATTTTTTAAATTTTTAACAAATTTATTTAATCAAAATAGTTGCCATTATTATCTATACATTGCTGCCATCTAATGGGAAGGTTATTAATGCCTTTGCGATAGAACTCCGACGATCTAGACTGCACAAGCTGTGTGAAAGCATTTTGTACTGCCTCCTGGGAAGAAAACTTCTTGTCACGTAGATAATTGTCCAAATCACGAAAAAAATGGTAGTCCGTTGGAGCAAGGTCTGGTGAATACGGAGGATGACGAATGGTTTCTAACTGCAGTTCCTGAAGGGTCAAAATGGTTTCTCGTGCTGTGTGAGGTCTCGCATTGTCGTGGAGCAATAATGGTGAAGATCGATTCATGAGTCGGGGCTGTTTTACTGCTAGTTTTGTCAACATGGTTCGGAGTTCGGCACAATAGACATCTGCCGTTATTGCTTGACCAGATCGGAGAAAACTATAGTGAATAACACCATGCTGAGACCACCAAACAGTTACCATTACCTTTTTATTGGTAAGTTTTGCTTTAGGACACTGTTGTGGCATTTGACCTGGGGTCAGCCATTGCATTTTTCTTTTCCGGTTATCATAAAGAATCCACTTTTCATCACATATTACAATTCGATCCAATATTCCTTCATTTCTGTACCGGTTCAACAAGGCAACACAAGTTTCAACACGCGTTTCTTTCTGCAGATCAGTCAAATCATGAGGCACCCATTTTTCGTATTTTTTTATTTTATTGATTTGACGCAAGTGAGTCAATATTGTGGGTAAGGTAACGTTAAACCATGCCGCTAATTCCTGGGTAGTTTGACTAGGATCGGCTTCCACTATCTCTCTTAATTCATCGTTATTCACCTGTGTGGGCGGTCTTCCTCGTGGCTCGTTCTTTAAGTCGAAATTTCCATCACGAAAGCGTTTAAACCAAAATCGCACGGTGCGTTCATTAGTAGACCCCTCTCCAAACGCAGCATTGATATTGCGGGCTGTTTCTGCCGCGTTAGTTCCGCGTCGGAACTCGTATTCAAAAATCACTCGAATTTTCGCAGTATCCATCTTTCTTGTCTAAATTGAATAACAAAAACAATTGAAAGTCGATATTCAAATGTTTCAAATTAAAAAAAAAAAATCACAGAAACCATTTGAAAAAAGTTTCATTCGAAAACCTCAAACCATGAAGATTCTATGAAAATTCAAAGAACCTATTGCAATAAAACGGCAATTTCATACTTTAACCCCTAATATTAATGAATACTTAAAATATTACTGACACACGGGAACAAAAGCTAAACAAATAAACACACATTAATATATAAATACAATATATCGATATATATATATAAAAGTATATTTAAAAGTAAAATGAAATAATATATAGTAAATTAAATAACAATTATTATTACATACACATATATTTTATGTTTTGTTTGCATTTAAATTTCATATTCAAACATGTAAATTTCTATCTACTGGCTCCTCTCTCCTTTCCATTATATTGCGTGCCCGAAGGGGTCCATAATATTGGTCTTTGTTGTATTTTCTTATATTATGGTTTTGCAATAAAATATTGAGTACTGAGTATTGAGTATTGACCCGTCGTCCATTTATTTGTAAGTCAATGACTTACTACGAAATATATGTAGATCTCAAAAGTGTTAAAGAAAAACATCAAATGTTTAGTTTTGGTGTCTTGTAAAAAGTAAAGTAAAAGGTGTTGTTTATTACCTGTGAGATTGTTACTTTTTTACAAACCACCCTATTTTGATATGAACTGAAATTTCATTATTGAACGTCGAATACTTAGTCTTATGGAATACAAAACTCCTTTTTTTAATAGATGCTTCGAAATAATATCACATGTTTCTTTATTATATTTTTCACAAAATTCGGGGAGCATAACATTAGTAAATAAATAATATGTATACTATGTATACTATGTATAATATATGTATAATATGAGTAATATTTAAGTGTCATTTTCTGTACAATATCCTTATTGTACAGAAAATGACACTTAAATATACTCGACATAGTCGAAAAATTTTGGAATATCTCGATATCACAATGGACACTACGTCAGCTTTATTTCTTGGTCATTTTCTGTTATTTTTGTCAGCCATATTATTCATATTACACATACTATACATATTATTTATTTACTAATGTTATGCTCCCCGAATTTTGTGAAAAATATAATAAAGAAACAAAAAACAAAACAAAAACAGGACAGTGCCAAAAATTAAATAGGTGTAGTGTTCATTGGAGGTATCTATTAGTACATGTTCGTTTTTGACTGATGAATCCGGTTTATTAGATTCATCGAGTATATAACCAGAAATGGAGACGAATAAAGGCCATCCATCCCTGGCAACTCATTGGTCAAATGGTACTGATATCATTTTTACATATCAACTCTCGTTTGCGCTGAAATCACAAATTCAATTTTCGTCCATTATAGCAAAGCTCAAGTTGAACTGGAAGACTTGAAGGGAAACAATTGACATCTGTCAATTGTTTCGAATTCGGGATGGTCAATCGGTGCACAGTTGTCACAGTAATGATATGGTAGAATAGTTTTCAAATTAAATAACATTTCGTCTCTATTTCTGATTATATACTCGATGATTAGATTTCTCTCACTTTCCGTTAACCGATTTCAATAAAACTTGGCGAATAGAGTGCTTGGTTTTTCACGATTGCTACAATATTGGAAATTAAACTATTTGGTTTTTCAAACAAACCAACATTTCGGGTCAACTCATTACAAGTCTCATCGTCACTGCCGATTCATATATTTGATCATATATCGCGCATATTAAAAAAATAACAAATATACGCGATTTAGAAAAAAAAAATTACAATACGAAGTGACGGGACGAACAAGTAGTGCGCCTGGTAGTAAGCGACACGTCTATTCATCACAGTTGCAGTGCCACATATATATAGAGATATAATAGCAGTAGAGCTCCTTGTGAAAGACTTCGTTCAGGGAACTACTGCCACCTTACCTATTTCTGCCGCCAAGCAGTAATGTTAGCATTACTGTGTTCTGGTTTTGAACGGTAAGGGTGCTAGTGAAATTACAGGCACATGGGACTTGTCAATTTATGTCTCAGGGTGCCGGGAGCAGTGGCAGTGCGCCTCAGAATTTTGCGATTTAAAGAGTGGTACTGCAACTGTTATGTACAGGCTTACCATGAGGCGCATGACTTGTTCGTCCCGAGTCTTGATTTTATAAAATAAAAGTATAGTTATGCTAATGCGTTGGCCATGATATCTGCCGGCACTTGGGTTTCCCAGGCAGTCTATTAATTTACCTTAGGGACCCCACCTGGCCTAGGGACCCTACTTGTATATTACTTACCTTTTGTTCTATGTCTAAATGGGGTTTATTTTAATTTTTTTTAAATAATTTCAGTGGTCCTTAGTAGCGATGATTGCCTACATTGCACTTCCCTGTGCAAGATGCAGATGCGAGGGCCTCGGAATAGATGTGAGTATATAAACAACGCTTGAGTTCAGCAGTGGGCCAAAGATTTGTACTGAGGGAGCTGGATAAGCAGGTCCCGGGTGCGATTCCCGCGTGTAACTCGAAATGAGCTTTTGTAAATTGACCAATAACGCAAGGGGACAGCTAATCTCCATATTTCAGATCGTAACTTTGAAAATGGTCAAAATTCGATTTTATACCAAGATAGCGCTGATCGATAGCCTTTTTTTAAATGGCGCTGATCAATAGCCGACGTCTACTCTCAAAATATACAACCGCAGGTGCGTACGAAATCAAACCGATCCGTGAGCAATCCGCAGTTCGCTAGCCACAAACGCTTTCGTCTCGGGCTTCGGATGCCATAGACAATAACGGACAGATAACGTGTATGTAAGTGAATGGTCAGATAGGTTCTTTTACATGCTTAAACAAAAATTTTACAGAATAAATGGCGGATTCCTTTAGTGTTGTACCATAATGGTTACCTATCGTATCGTATCGTATCGTATAGTACGAAATCACATTTTCCAGAAATAACGTTTGGTCGAAATTTCATAACCTCGAAAGTAATTTTGAGAGGAAAATGTTTTTTCTTTTAAACCTCACTTAACCTAACTTAACCGAACCTAATCGTGTCTTTGCGATAAACATTCAACATATCCTCAAAAAACAACTGTTTCTTTATAATTCGGTTTTCGGTGTAATGAAAATTCGAACGAACGTTATTTCGGACAAAAACATTTTCGAGTTTATGATAGGTTACCTACCATAATCTATCGATAAGTCATTATCGACTTGCAAACGTTTCATTAAAGCAGATCAATATTCCGTGTGGGAATATTTTAATTCTCATGGGAATACCCGAGAATGTCGTATAACATTTTGAATTTATTATTTTTGTATTTATAGAATTATAAATATTACGAAAAGTAAATTTGTACAGAAAAAATGAAATATGAGAGTATATTAATAAAGAGAAAATTTAAATACGTGTAACGGATTTTACTTTTCGGAGTAGATGTTCTGGAAGTAGTTTATATTATTATGCAAATGGCGGTAAATATCAATTAATTCTTCTTTAATATGATATATAGGTATTGAGTATTTTTTCTTGCAATGTAATTCAAATCAAGTCTAGTTTATTTTTAATACATAGCATAGTCATGAATAACGAATAATTTCAGTAAGTCAAGAAATTACAAATTACATGGTTCACTGCTCACATTCGTCAAAAAGCCCGCCGCTGACTGATCCCAGCGCAAAGGTACCCATCACGCTAAGAACAAACCGGCGCGGGAGTCATCTCCACTCTCTCTTAGCCGTTGCCCGATTTCCGCTACAAACTTTTACCTTTTACCTCAACAACTCGCCGTCGCAACGGCAAGCGGAACGAAAATGTAGCGACTTTCCAATTCCCGATATTTGTCTCGTTTCTTGCGAGCAGCGGACTCAGCAGCGGCACCAGAAGAAGTGACTGTGCCACTGAGATGCGAAGCTGCAAATGTCCTAACACATGTCGCATTATTCAAATTGATCATGAGCTAAAATTATTAGGAAGCAGTGGTAGCCTAATGGTTTGACCTACTGCCCCTCAAACAGGGGGTCGTGGGTTCGAGTCCGGGACCTCTGAGTCTGAGTTCTCGGAATTTATGTGTGAAATTTAATTTGAAATTTATCATGAGCTTTTCGGTGAGGGAAAACATCGTCGTGAAACCTACATGTTGAAGAAGGTTCACAGCCCTTGGAAAACATGTGAAGTCCCCAACCCGCATTGGGCCCGCGTGGCGGACTATTGCCTAAACTCTCGTCTGAAAGGAGACCCGTGCCCAGCAGTGCGACGTATAAAAGGGTTGATGATGATGAGCTAAAATTATTTTCTGAACTTTGACAAATATATATATAGTTAATAGATGGCATTGTGTGTTATAAACTAATTTATAAATTAACGCTTCCTTCCTTTACGGGTAGATGGCGCTAATCCTAAAAAAAATAAAAGAATAGCCGGCTCTGTCCATAAAAATCTGTGCAATAATCGATCTGGCTGATTTGTTATCACTAGAAATTACAGCAACTTTCATAAATTGCAGCATGTCAGTGTAAAACAAATTACTTACAACACTATTTGGTACTCGTTGCGTCATCTGGTGTATTTGTAAGTACCTAAATACCCGACTACGATGTCTTGAGTTGTTGGTCCAAGGTATTAAGAAATGAATTTTGAGACTAGGTGTGGTGTGGTGGTCAGGCATCGAGTATATAACCAGAAATAGAGACGAAATAAGGGCCATCCATCCCAGGCTACTCGTCAGGTAAATGGGCCTTATATCACATTTAAATATCAACTCTCTGTGTATACTCAACTGGCCTGTGTGTACGTCTCCGTATATTCCAAAAATATTCTGTATTTATTGTAATAAAGATAATATCTCTAACAATGGGAGCTGTTCCATTCGGTGGTGTGGGAAAAACAGCAAAACATCTAATTACAAAACAAACGAAATCACATTTCATCGGTAATTAAATATGTAATTTTTCAATTTTCGTCCATTATAGCAAAGTTTAAGTTAAACTGGTCGATTTGAAGTGAAATAATTGACGACACCCGTCAATTGTTTCCAATTCGAGCTGGCCAATCGGAGCGCAGTTGTCACCGTAATGATTTGGCAGAACAGTATTTAAACAAATTAAATGACATTTCGTCTCTATTTCTGGTTATATTCTCGATGATCTAACACAAAGAAGAATTACTTCGATCTAACAGGACTCGAACCTGTGTCTGTATACCAATCTAGGGCAACCGCTCCACCACCACCTCCTCTCTCTAAAGGAAGGGAAGTGCTGACATCCCTATTTCTGCCGCCAAGCAATAATGTCAGTATTACTGTGTTCAGGCTGTAAAGAGTAAGGGTGCCGGTGAAATTACAGGCATATGGGACTTGTCAACCTATGACTCACGATGACGGGCGTAGTGGCAGTGCCCCTCAGATCTTTGCGATATAAAGCTCTGGCACGGCACTGCAACTGTTATGGACAGGCGTGTAGCTTACCATCAGGCGCGCGATTTGTTCGTCGCGTCACTTCATGTTATAAAAAAAAACTACTACAGATCGAGTCAGCGGACCTTTTCTTCTTCAGCAGAATTTTTTTAAGCGTTTGTTACTGGTCTTTGTCAAAGTCAAATAATAATTAATTCCATGGGTAACATTTTTACACCTGAAATCATTGACTTACAATTATATGGACGTCGGGTCCGCGCTAAAAAGTGTCCGCACTTGTAAGGCGCTAAAATCGTATACAGAGCGCCAAACTCCGCTTTAGTCTTCATTTGTTCTACTGACAGCACGATACTGCGATGACATTACAATTTAAATTTCGAATAGGTTGACTTGGGACATTTTTTTCGTGGTTTTTGTATTAGACCCGTCGTCCATTTATTTGTAAGTCAATGCCTGAAATCGTTATTTTTAAAGTTACTTTGTTTTTTTGGTTTTAACTGTTTTTTGACACCTGACTTTTTATTATAGAAATCGAAATCATGAAATTCGTGTCTTTCCTGTCTATAATTTGCATTTTCTTACTATGTTCCGTTGTTTTACGAAGTTATAGTTTAATGAAAAACAAAAGTATGTGTTTTTTACACGAGTTTGAACACGAGTCAAACAATCACATTCCCGCCGAGGCATGTGCAGTAGTTTTTTCAAACATTGGGAGAAAATAATATTAGACTAAAGAGAGGAAGATGTATACAAGAAAAAGTCAAAAAATACCTAACACGTTAAATATTAAAAGTAATATTTAACGTGTTAGGACAATTTCTAAAAGAAATTGTTATTTTCTTTCCAGGCACATTAATAGTCGTCTGCTGAACTTCTGATGATGTGTTTGAACGTGTATCTATTACTGTATTTTCGTTATTGCTCTTCTCACAAGCATTCATTTTCGCGACCAAAATAAATAAATGTTACCGCTATTTTTTTTAATAAGCGGTACAGGTAGGTATTTTTATAATTCACGCAAATATGAACGCAGGAGAGTTGGCTGTATGAGATTTTCTTTTGCCTGTTTACGTAGTTCATTATTATATAGTAAGTAGATTTAAAAGTATAAAGAAGTCCACAGTAATGGATTTTCATACTTTGCAGGCCTTGGCCGGGAAGAAGTCGCACTGTCCTTAAATGACAAACTTTCCGTGTTCGTTTTTTGAAAGTAATGCAAACATTTCCGAGCATATTTGAGAAAATACATTATAACGTTTTTATCATTCATTGTACACTATAACATTTCCACTTCCAGTTCTGCCTCGACAAGCAAAGCTATTTTCACGAAGACACAGACTTAGACGAGCAAGCTGGCAGTGTTTCTGAGGAAAAACAAATGCCGATCAAATCGAAACCCAAAGAGCCTGAAGTCACAACGACTGGGAGGGAACCAAGAGGAGTGATGGAAAACAACAGCTCCATGTCAGCAACTGCAGCTCGCAAGCCACAATCGACTGATAAATATGACGATGAAGCGATGCTAGCAAAATTTGCTGAAGAAGAAGATGTGGATAGAGAGGACCATGTGACACAGCTTCAGTATTTGTCTGATCTGGCTGTGAATACTGATAATGAAATTACTAGTTTGCATGTGAGTAAGCAGGTTACATTGTCGTATCATATTTAAGTACGTCGCTCTTGTCGAGGCCATCCAATAAATCACTGGGAAAAACAATTTTATCACAAAAAATGACTTTGGAAAAACGCAATTGAACTTTTTTATAAATGCCATAGTCCTCTACGTTATACTCCGTCCAATTATTTATTTAACTTTTGACCGTAATTATTGACATACAACCAAAGACAAAAAAATGCAACACTTCCTGGACTCTTTTTTTTTAAATTTCAGTGAAGCGTAATCTTTAGTTCCGATGTTTATAGAGCAAACAGATTAAGTAACGTAGATTATTCAAGTTGATAAATATTCGTACCTGTATAATACATTCTTACTATTTATTATAATGAATCGTCGGATTCTTCTCCATATGAACGGCAATCATCACTTGAATCCTCATTAACATTAATAAAATTATAAATTCTTGGGAACACAAATTGTCAAACGCAACATCACGATCCCAATCAGACAATATCTTCTTTTTTGAATCCACTCACATTCACGATTAATACTTCTTCATAAATAAAATTGATTGTCATAAAAAATCTAATCGGAAACGCATTAGGACATCACTAATTGATTAGAATTCGGGCTGTCAAAGGTGAAATAAATGGTTAGACGGAGTATAATTTGCGAAATTGATACTGACCCAAGGCCGCCATTAAGGAAATACAATAGAACAGAGTATAATTTGTAACTCATGGTTCTACGTTTTATGTTTTACTGTAACTATGTAAATATCATTTTACATAGGTAATCACGTCTTGTTTTCCTAAGTAAAAATCCAGTTAATTAGTTTTCGCAGTATAACCAGAGAACAAAAAAGTAAAGAGAACTGGCACTCTCCGTCTCTCCCTAGCTTTAGATACCGCATCACGACCGCACATCGACGGTCACATTGACTGAACGAGGCTGCCGGCGAGCCGTTTTCGCGCTAAGACGGCTTTGATATTTGAACATAGTTTTCATAACGAAACTTGTACATTAATATATATAACATCATTTTATGTTACTACTTATACGTAAGGCGCGCTATAGGTTTCCGGAATGAATAAGAAAAAAATACTATAAGTAGTGAGAAATTAATTTATTGTTTCTTAAAATATTCTCCGTTAGTGTTAATGCACTTTTTCATACAAATGAACCAATTTTGAAAACATTTATGCCACTCCTCCGTGACAATCTCTGAAACATATTATTCATACTCTTCGACAGCCTCTTCAGGTGATGAAAATCGTTGACCGCGTAACTGGTTCTTAATTTTTGTAAATAAATAAAAGTCACAAGGTGCCAGGTCGGGACTGTATTCGGGATGGCTTATAAGGTCAACGTCGTTCACCTT